ATCACTGCTTATTGGCAAACGGACTGTCAAAACGTTTCGTTTCATAATTTCGACTAGGATAAAAATAGCAATACGTCCAATTTAAAAAAATCTACATATGTTTTTATTACTTTTTGTTATAAACAAATGTGTTTATGATAGTCTACAATATGCTGGTTAAATTATAGTTATAATTTAGAATAAAATAAAATAAGTCTTGATCCTGATGTTGTTTCGTATCTGTAGTAGAACGAAACGTATCAAGAGGCTCGGATAAATCGGAGGGAAGAAGCTATCTACTGTTGGTTAAAGAGAGATAGCACGTATCCGTGATTGTGAAACGCAAACTAAGGGTAGATACGCTCTTGCTGATATTCGGAGATAGCTATCTATCCGAAAACTCAGATACGTTATTGAAAACGGCCGTTAGAAGTTATCAATAGTTGTTTGTTTCGTGGACATAAAATAGTCATTCCGGCGGTATTTCGAGATCGTATGTTAGAAGAACTACACTGTGCTCATTTCGGTATCGTTAAGACGAAGAATATGGCACGAAGTCGCATGTGGTGGCCAGGTATTGACAGCGATATTGAGCGTTTAGTTGGCAGCTGTGACGTATGCGCCGCTCAGCGCAGCGCGCCGGCCCGTGCACCCCCCGCACCCTGGCCGCGCCCGCCTGCCCCATGGCACCGTATTCACATAGATTATATGTCTATAGGGCAAACGGTACACTATTTAATTGTTATCGATGCATTTAGTAAATGGCTCGAATGCATTCATATGAATTGCGGCACCTCCACTAGTGCGTTAATATTGAAACTGAAAGAATTATTCTCAGTTTTCGGTATCCCTAACGAAATTGTATCAGATAACGACATTAAGATATGTTCCGTGGAATTTCAACAATTTTGTAAAAATAACGGTATAAATTACTTAAATTCACCGATCTATCATCCGGCAAGTAACGGCCAAGCCGAGAACTCGGTGAAAACTTGCCGAAAAATGTTAAAATGTATAATCGAACAAAATAAATATAATACTAATTTCAATCCACGGCTTATTCAAGAAAAATTAATTGGATTTTTGTTCGATTATCGTAATAGTATACATTGCACAACAGGCGCATCACCTGCAAGTATGATGTTTGGACGTAATTTAAGAACAAGATTAGATTTAATATTACCCACCAAAAAAGTGGAAGATAATGCAGTTGTTTCTAATAAAGAACTAAGTAAATCTAGACAATTCCAAATAGGTGAAATAGTCTGGGCAAGATTTTTTATTGCTCGAAAGGCTAGCTGGATGAAAGGAAAAATAACGAATATCTTAGGCAATAGAATGTTTCAGATCAATTTTGAAAACTGTGATTCAACGTGTGTCAGACATTTGGATCAGATTAGGAAGTACACGGATGCTAGGTCAAAAAACAATTGTGAGCAATGTTGTTTCCACCGAAGGCGCTAATATTTCAGTCCCGGATCGACCCACAACAGTGCAATCAGTATCGCAGCCCAGCTCTGAGTTAGTGCTATCCTCACCGATGTCGTCGCCGCCGGTACCGGAGCCGGCACCAGTATCGGCCCCCACGCACGGCAATAACGTTGACATTGTGAGGGGGGAGGATGAGGAGGGCGATGAATGGGAGGAGGCTAGTGAAAACATCGCAGCTGCCAGCCTGCCGACCGAGTGTGAACCTGATTACCCTATTGTAGCATCAGATGACGCCGATAACGTGAGATTAGAAGAGAGGGCGCCAGATAATGAAAGACAGTGTGGTCGACCAAAGAGGACAAGAAAAGTAGTAGATTATAAGAAGTATTTTTAAATTAACGATAAGCTAATTAGTTGTTTTCTTTGTCAGGATTTCAAAATAATGAGGGAGGAGTGCAGTGTTTGTTATGTACTTCGTATATCGCGACCCGCTCCGCTCACAGTAGTAATAAACCAGCTGTTATTACGTACGGTCGTTTCATTGCCCCTAAGTTCCGATATAACACTTCTCCAACAAAGTTTGAAGAAAGATGTGGATATTTATAAAGACGAAAATGACCTGACGAGAGTCTTAAGAAAGCAGCTCCTACGCTTTTTTCATCCGAGGAAACGGATTTAGACGCGTCAGTATAGAAATCCTCCGATTTAGGTTCTAAGTTTTTAATAAAGGAGGCTAATTTTGAGTTTGCCGAGCTTGATCCTTTTTGGATATCNGATGTATTGACAACCATATTACCAGTGAGGTTAGAACACATAGTGATTAATATTCCATTTATAATCTTCCCTGATTCTAATGATAATGAAACTTTACTGGGTATTGATTTTATTAATGCTGCCAAAGTTATTATTGATTTTCATCGTCATGAATGGTATTTTAGTACTGATGCTAAGGTGCATTATAAATTACTTTTTGAGCCTATGTCTCGTGGTGTGTGCATAGCTTCTACTAACATGCTTCGGGATGATGAAGGCATGCACTTGCAATCAGCTGAGCGCCAAGCATTGTCTGAGTTCCTTATTCGGCATGAAAGTATTTTTACAGCAGGGAGAGGTCCGACACCATTCATAGAACATTGCATAGACACCGGAGATCACCCCCCGATAGCTGTGCCGCCCTATCGCCTTAACCCTTCCGAGAAGGAGACGATGAAGAATGAAATAGAGAAGATGCTGGCAGATGACATCGTTGAAGAGTGCGAATCCGCCTGGTGCTGTCCTGCATTGATGATACCGAAGTCCAATGGTAATGTAAGATTCTGCGTAGATTACAGGCGCTTAAATGAAGTAACCAAATCTGATACTTACCCACTCCCACGCATTGATAATCTTCTCCAGAGTACGAAGCAGAATTGTTACATGACTACAATATACCTTCGTTCTTCATATTGGCAAGTTATGGTTCGAGAAGAAGACAGAGACATAACAGCTTTTGTCTGTCCCCTAGGCACTTACCGTTTTAAAAGAATGCCGTTCGGCTTGAAGAATGCGCCGGTGACTTTCCAAAGGCTTATTGATCGTCTACGCTCCTGTGCTGCTTTGAAGGATGTTACAGTACTTGCTTATCTAGACGATTTGTTAATTATTTCAGAAGGATTCCAGCAACACCTACAAGATCTGGAAGCTGTTTTTAGACGTTTGTCTGAATTTAAACTTCACGTAAACAGAGAGAAGTGCACTTTTGCCAAAGAAAGCTTTTTTGCTTTTAATTCCTCTTCTCGATTATGCTGATATCTGTTTTCTAGATGCTTCTGAATTGCTTTTAGATAAACTCGAACGTATGCAGAATTTGTGCATCCGCTTCATTTTTGGTCTCCGGAAGTATGACCATGTCTCTGATTTCCGGGCTGAGCTGGGGTGGCTGCCGATTAGGCGACGTCGAGATTGCCACATTCTCTCTTTTCTCCATTCTATTCTTCACAATCCTGATGCCCCTATCTATCTCCGTGAACGCTTTGAATATCTGATTCCTGACGGCAAAGTTAGTCGACAAGCCACTTCTCTTCTTTTAAAAACTCCCATACACAGCTCTAGTCGCTATAGTGGCTCTTTCACAATACAAGCAGTGCGATTATGGAATTCTCTCCCTCAACCTATTCGTGCTAGTTCCTCTCTAGAAGTTTTTAAGANTTGCAGGTTTATCTGATTTTAAGATTGCATGGTCAATACAGTTGTTTTCGCGCGTTGGGAACAAATGAGCTGGAAGCATACCATGTGAGGCCAATACATTTAAATACAAGTCAGAAATCGCATCTCCGACATTTTCAGAAATATCTATATTTAAATCTCCGATTAAGAGCATTGTCTTAAATGATTTGAGTTTTGTTAAAGTTTTGTCTAAGCTATTAATAAACCCGTTAATATTACGAATGGAAGGAGAACGATACACTGCTAGAACAGCGACACTTGTACTCAATTTGACTAGAATACAGCTTGCATCTATGATATTACAATCCTCTATTGAGACTGGAATGTCAAGTCTCACATAGGCCACAACGCCATCGTTTTGATTGAAATATTTGGATTTATAGCATTTAAAACCAGGTATACTAGGCACATTTGTGCATTTACTTAGCCAACATTCGGACAAAATAAGAATGTCAAACATTAAATTAAGACGTTTTATCAAAATAAGAAAATTGTTAAAGTTAGCTATACTACCTATACTTCTGATATTCATGTGAAAGATTTTAAGCGCTGTGATGTCATTTTGGACATATGTACAACATTCTTCAGGAGCACAAATGTAGGATTTTGAAGTAGTTAAATAATTTAAATCGTTTATCATGCCTGTGGTGTCATCCATATTTGAAAGTTAGAGTTAACAATTTGTTGTACTTCTTGCGAGGGTCACCTATGGTCAGAATATAAGTATTTGTTACCAATCGAAAATATAGTAGCGCAGGTTTGAGTATATGTACTTGAAATATTATCTTCATTTGTTTAAATGAGAAATTACTTGAGTAGAAAATATTACTTTTTATATGTGTGTGATTTGTAGCGGAGTGTAAAATGTAAGTGTCACAATATTGAGTACATTTATTTAAATAAGTCAATCCAACAAAAACAAGACAAAACAAATAGGGTAAGTTAAACGAACAATAGGGTAAGTTAAACGAAAATAAGGGTAACGAAACAATTAATAGTAACAATATTTCCTCGTTGTAACTATACTGAGACCTTAGAACTTATCTCAAGGTGGGTGGCGCATTTACGTTGTAGATGTCTATGGGCTCCAGTAACCACTTAACACCAGGTGGGCTGTGAGCTCGTCCACCCATCTAAGCAATAAATAAAAAAAAAATTAGGTTGCGAATTGTACCAAAACGACTCTGCCACATATTATGTATTAGGCGTGATAGGAAGTTTAATTTATGACTTTGCAACTTTATTTTATCATTAGTACGGCTTAATTTCCAAAGTAATTACATACACCACTTTCAAGTTTCAAACAAACTGCTGGTGATAGGGCGGATTCTATGTCACAATCGTTTATTTCTGCCACAAAACTTCATGCGTTCTAGTTTGAGGGGTGAGACTGTCGTTAAATAGCTTTCTTCTTAATTATCTTAGGATTTTTGTGTATGCTGTCCACAAGGACTAAGGCCAATAACTGTTGCAAAAACTATACTTACTATTAACGTGTTCCATACCACAAAAAAATCATGAGGATAATACGAGTATCAGCTACTTCTTCGTTTCGTTCACTCACGTGACATTTGTTTTGAATGGTCTGTCAACTAAGTTTGACAGCCGCAACTGAAATAAAACGAATTTGAAATTTAAAATTTCATAAACGTTACATACATACAGTGGTTTGAATTATCTAAACAAATGTAAACAATTATAGTGAACGAAGAAAATTGCCCAAAATAAACACTCAATTATTAAACATGGCTACCAGATCTGGAAAGCGTAAGTAATTTACAAATTTATTCTAATAACGTTCGTAATACGTGAACATATTTGTAAAGATTTGTTCTTTTTCCAGGCATACGAAGTATGTCCAACGACTCTACAGTGAAAGATGATGTTGATATTACCGTAAGAAGCGAAAGAAAAGTACGGAATAAACTTTTAAATGGAAACGCGGATGGTTCGTGCATTAATGTAATAAAATGTAAAAAACGTAGTAATTACGTACGTTATCCGACTGACGATGAACAACATTCAGCTGACAACGATCTTGATGGTATTGAAACTAAACAGTCTCGTTCCACTCGTAAAAACACCCTAAAAGACCGCAACACCATCTCAGTAAGCAATGAAAATACAGAGAGTTTTGATGCAAAAAAACTTGTTAGAACTACTCGCAGAACTAAAAAGGCCTCTGAGAGTTCCATAGAAAATGTTCCAGTAACAGAAAACATGTACAAGCGAGAAGAACACAAAACTAAAAACAAGAAATGTAACAAGAAACACAGTTTGAACTATGATAAAACTGTTGATGTGGTTCCTAAAAAAACTAAGTCTCGTAAAAAGAAAGGAAAGAAATCTACTTCTATTGTGGAGTCTGTCGAGAATGAGAATTTTAATAAAGGAAACTTATCAACTGATTCATTCCATAGTGCTTCAGAAAGCCCCACAAAAACATTAACATTAAATACTAACAAAAGTATTAAAGAAGCTATTGATTTGGAAACTAATTTTAAATTACAAAATGAACCCAAAAGTGAAACAATATTAAAAGATAATGAATCTAAGCCAATTGTCAATGAAAATATTAAAAAAAATACACACAAAAAAAAATCTAGCATAAAAGACAAAATAACCGACACAACTTTTGACTATTGTGAAATTAAATCGTCTCCTTTAAAACAAAACTCATCCATTCAAAGCACTACAGAGTCTTCTATATTTGAAACACACAGGAACCAGTCAATAATTAATACTACATATGATAAAAATGACAGCACGGATAATATTAATGTTACTTACGAAAAAGCTAATACCTCTATTAAAGACAGTAGGCCAATAATGACCCTGTCAGACGAGATTCAAAACTTGCAAAAATCCAATAACAGTCAAATACTCAATACAACAGCAAAGAATAGAAAATCAGAATTTTTAAATAATACATTTGACAAAGAAAGTTCGATTGACATTGCAAAAAGGAAGTCATCATTAAAAAATTCGACATTTGATAAAAGTTGTACGGGGCATGAGGCTTCAGATATAACTTTTGAAGTTCTTGATCACAACCTTTCTGAGTCTTCGAAAAGAAAATCTTCTCTGATAAAGAAATATAACAAACTAAGTGAAATTCACACCACAGCAAAAATTAATAATGAATTGACAAATGAAAACTTAGCCCAGCCTAACATTAAACCTGATGAGAAACTCAACACAACCTTTGATAAAACTACAAAAACATCATTATTAAGTACTGACTCCGAGAATGATGTATCTCGCATCAGCATTACTAGCGATGATTCCAGCATTACTCCGCTTCGTGATTCCAATATTATTAAGGATACTACCTTAGTTCTAATAGAAAGTAGTATGGATGAGAGCCTTATTATAGCTAAAGATACTTTGGTCTCACAGGAATCTGTAACTCCTCTGAAACGTGAAGGAACTTTTACTAAAGATGGGCCAGAATTAGATTCTGAAAGCAAGAAGGCAGCATCGGTGACACCTAAACATACTCCCGTCAAACGTATGTCTCTTCCATCACCTGGATCAACACCATTTCCAAATAAGAGCTCACAAAAAGACAGATTATTAAATATCACTCGATCTATTGAGAAGAGTAGGCGGTCTTCTTTAGTTGAAGTTGTCCCGAGAACGACGAAAGTAATGTTTTGTAGTCCAGTTGATAACCCAACTATTTTCAGTCAGCAGAGAAAAAAGGTTATTAAGTCAAACTTGAAGGGATCAAACAAGAGTTTTGTTGTTGAAGAGAACGGTGAGTGAAAATGATTGCACAATATATTACTTCGCTGATTTCTGTATACGTCATCTCGAATCATAAATACGTCACAACGCCATAAATGCAAAATTATTTTATTTCCCAGAGCTGAAATCACGATCTACCGCCCGCAAGCGTTCGTACACTCAGAGCGACGCTGAAGATGCGAGAGCCAAACGCAAACGCGTCACGGAAGCAGCAGTGGAGCCAGCTCGAAAGAGGACCTTCAGTGCTTCTGGTGAGCCCGACCATCTGGTATTTAAATACGGAACTTCTTACTCTTCAAAATTGGCGCGCAAATTGCACCAAACTTGGCCGAATTTTTCACTACGTGCGACGTCATTCGGGGCTATTGTCATTATTATTATTTTTTTATTGCCCTTGTAGGCAGACGAGCATACGGCCCACCTGATGGTGAGTGATTACCGTCGCCCATGGACTCCAGCAATGCCAGGGGCAGAGCCAAGCCGCTCTGCCTACCGAAAATCTTTAATTATATTTATGTTAAATTATACATGTTATCATTGTGATGATGATACATTTCACATCGACTTCGGCAGATTTTGCCGTGCTGCTAAATTTTTTTTATTGCTGAGTTGGACGAGCCTTTTTACCTTTGGGCCGTGGCTCCTAAATACCAGCTACTTTCATTTGACTCCATACAGAAGAAGAACAGTCGATAATTCCATTCTCACAGATCGTTTCATTAAGTGGGCCGTATGCTTCTATATATCTATAAGGACAATAAAAAACAGAGAGAAATGTTTAACCTATTGCAGTCCGTTCCGAGATTTCGTGTCCTTGAACGATATCTATATGTGCCTTGCTCGAGCGGTCATTGCTTAACTTCTGTACTGTCGGTGTTTTGTGACCTAAAGCCGTTCCGTGTAAAGGACTAAACCTGAACGAAAGCAAACCAATTCCCATTAAAGACACGAGAAATTTCGTAAATAAATCTAGTAGAGGTCATACTCATCACGTTGTTGTTTTTTTTTCTAGCTAAACTCTCAGAATTATTCACACCCCAGAGAGTGGTTACACCATCGAAACCCAAGCCAAATTCTCAATTCAACCGCACGAAACTGCCCAATTTTGCCGCTCTGCATCAGAAGCAGTTCGACAAGATGGAGTCGCTAGACGAGTGCCAGGAGCGGAAGGCGAAGCGAGCGAAACAGCTGCTAACCCCAACAGGGAGTGTAGGAGTTTCGGAAAAAATCAGTCCTAAAGGTATGTAAGCGCCTAGTTTTCAATAATATAAAAAAGTTAATTACTTATGAACCTTCGTAAGACAGATACTACGTGAACATGCTGCCCAAATCAGAAACAGGCTTAGATTTTGCTGCATCACCCATCCTAAATAAGTACAAATGAGAAAAAGTTGATATCACCAAATCACTATACTTGAGACCTTACAACTTATATCTCAAGATGAGTGGCGCACTTACGTTGTAGATGTCTATGGGCTCCAGTAACCACTTAACACCAGGTGGGCTGTGAGCTCGTCCACCCATCTAAGCAATAAAAAAAAATAAAAAATAAAAAACATAACCATAATAGGCTTACCTATATACTTTACAGCTTCCACCACAGAACAACAGAAAGAACAGCAAAAACAAAAAGTTTCCAGCAAAAAGAATCCGTATGATTTTCAAGTTAATCCAGAATCAAAACCAGGCTACACTAGGTTCGGCTTCAAACTGAACATGGACGTTAATCCGTTCTGTGTACCGACCAAAAACATTAACCACACCAAGGCATCAAAGCTATCAAAGCCCAATGGATTAATCAGGCAGGCAACATTACCGTCTCTGACTGGAACCACTTCAACGAGGAAGGAAACAGCTAAACAGTTGGTGATGAGAGAGAAATCCTTCACCGATAAAAGAACAGGAAAGATTCAAGAGACTAGGACAGTTATTAAAGGGGTCAGGACAAATAGACGTTTCGATTTGCAAATGAGATTGAGGAATTTAAATTGAATTCTGTTTCGCTTATCTTAAATTGGTATTGTGTAAATAGTTTGAACTTACTCAATTATTACTATAAACCCAACTAAGGCAGACTTTGTATTAAACTAACCAAGATACAGCCACAGGTGACAATAGATTAGTTGTAGTTGGTAGTTTGAGGAATTTGGAGTCATTCATTATCCACCAATACATTACTAGTGGTAGGACCTCTTGTGAGTCCGCGCGGGTAGGTACCACCGCCCCGCCTATTTCTGCCGTGAATCAGTAATGCGTTTCGGTTTGAAGGGTGGGGCAGCCGTTGTAACTATACTCGAGACCTTAGAACTTATATTTCAAGGTGGGTTTCGCATTTACGTTGTGGATGTCTATGGGCTCCAGCAACCACTTAACACCAGGTGGGCTGTGAGCTCGTCCACCCATCTAAGCAATAAAAAAAAAAACAGCCAATTTGGTATGTAGGATCCTGATCAATGTGCTGTGTGTTATATCCCTGTGTAAACGCATATGTACTGTTAACGAATCACCGTTTTTTTTAAATTTAAATTCGTTATCTACTGAAGGTCTGACGGACGTCAAATTGTACGAAGTGCAGGAAACTCGTCTGTTGATATGCTTTTTTTAAATTTCTATTACACTAACAATTTAGTTTACAAACTGTCACAAAACGACACAAGCCGGTGTCATATTGTCTTAATTTGATTACTTTATTTATATAATTTTAATGCTTAATCTATGTAACTATCAAATATGGAGGGTAAGGAGAATCAACTGTGTCTATGAAGAGTGTCCGTCGAATTGTTTTAAATTAGTGGCGCTATATCAGCATCACGTTAAATTTTAAAGGAAGCGCCAAATACTATTAGAGTAGGTTTGATAGATACGTTTTTATAAAAAGAAATATTAATAAATCAATTATAGTACCATTCGCAGTTTACGAAATAAAATCACTCTAGATGCACGTTTTCTTGTAATAATTCTATAAGGTTATATTTACTGCATTATTTTGCACAACGTAAGTTGATAAAATTTTCAATAATTAACTACTTTAATCAAAATGATATTCATTTTTTTAACTTGGCATACTTCAGTTCATCAACAATTGCTGCATTTATACCATACCTTATGTCTACACCAGCCTTTCCCAAAGTGAGCGATAACGCCCCTTTGTGGGCGCTGCAGGCTTAATGGGGGGCGCTAATAGACCCAGAAAATAATGGGGGCGTTGTGTAGGGGCTTGGAAGGCGATTTGTAATTTCATCTAGGAGGACTCTTAGACACCGACTGAGCTATCGTTATAGTGGTTTTTAAGTAGGTAGAAAAAATGGGGGCGCTAAAAAAGAATTTATTCTCAAAGCGGGCAGTAGACAAAATAAGTTTGGGAACCACTGGTCTACACCAACGCGATTGTGAAGATTTTGAGCTGTTATTCAGTTATAGTATAGCTGGACACTTTTAACTTTCTCCCATATAAGATGATTCTCATCCATATGATAGAGATAAGACGTACGATCTTGTATATGGGGCAAGTTAAAAAAGTATCCACCTATAAACAGCAAGTTATTGTTGGAAGACTCACCGAAACAGCGTAGTGAAGGAAGTGGAAATGATATGAATATGGCACTGTTTTAAAAAAAAATCCACTTGCTACTATGGCGCCACCTTCATTTGCTCCCTTTCAGCCGATACTTTTTAATACACTGAGATGGTGATCCTTACTTCTTTTACCCTCCATAATCTCAAGTCAAAAAAACAACACCGACATTGTTGGCAAACATTTCGTCTTCTCGCATTAAAACTGTCTATTCTCAAAACTTACTAATTTCACGGGAGAGTGTTTTATATGTTTAACATGTAATATTTTTAATATTAATCATCTTTGCAATATTTATTTTTCATTTTTTACCAGTTACATTAACTGTCTTTTAAAGTAAGATAAAATTATGTATTTTGTTAATAGTAGTCAAAACATAGGTAAACTAAAACAAACTAAAACTAGATAATCCTCTTTTGACAGTATTTATGAGAGAAATACTGGTGATACCGAATGATTCCGCATATTAACTCAATTTCGAATATTTTTGGAAATTGTACACTTTTAATGAGAAAAGACGATTTATGAGTGCTGCCATATTAAAGATAGATTTATTTGTCATTAATTTGTCATTTATTAATGTCACATGGCCGAGTAAAGATATCGAGTTGGGAGTAATTCGAATAATAATAATATTTTACACATTCAACTCGTTTTTTGCCAGATAAATAACAAAACAAACACCAACAATTTTCAGTTTCCGTTCTATATTTCATAGTAATAAGGTTTAAAATTTAATGCATATGGCCGAGTGAAATTATGACAAAAAGTATTAATTAATCGTGACAGTTTTGTTATACGAGTATTGAATAATTTTGATATTAGATTTACTGAATACTAGCACTCGATGGCTCGTGCCATCTCGTATCATTATCATGACAATGTACTGTTTTCTATTAATAAAAATAATAATATATCATATTGATTAGTTTTATTTGTTTTGAGTTCTACTTCGACACGGGGATTGTTATTAAGGGGGGAAAAGCGTCCATCTATCAAAAAGATTCAGGAAATCCGTAAATCATCATATTTTTCAAATACATCTTCAAATCGCTTCGTGACACTACGGTTTATTTAACATTCATTGCGTTGTAGATTGAGACTAGTGACACAGAATTATATGCATTAGAAATAATTTTGAAATGAAACTTCTTTAGGCGCATGAGGGTAAAAATTTTACAGATGTAACGTCACGCAGGTATGCAACGGAAGTGTAGAAAGAGAGAGAGAGAGCGATCGAGATCGATTGAGAGAGAATAAGATAGGGCGAACGTAGCATGAAGCAACTAGCCATGGAGTGAGAGTAGGGAGCAAGCAAGTGAGAAAGATCGAGAGAAAAAGTGAGACAGAATGCTCAGTTCCTACATACTTTAAAGCATACGTATAAAGTATTTTATTTTTAATACAGCGCCATTTGTGTGATGTTTTAATACTAACGTGTGTATGAAACCTCTTGTAGTGAATTTTAATTTAGGATATACATGAAGTTAAAATATCAATTCACAGAGGGCGCTATCTCATACTATAAAAGGTGATTTACAATTATTTACTAATGACATTTTACTAATAATATACTTAGACATTTAGGATAATTGTATTTTAATTTTTTAAGGTTTCACTTCTAACACGTGTGAATTGCACACATGTTATTTTTTTTATTACTTAGCTGGGTGGACAATCTCACAGCCCACCTGGTGTTAAGTGATTACCGGAGCTCATAGACATCTAGAACACTAATGCCGCCACCAGCCTTGAGATATGAGTTCTAAGGTCTACCGGCTGCCTCATCCTTCAAACCGAAACGCATTACTGCTTCACGGCAGAAATAGGCGAGGCGGTGGTATCCGTGCGGACTCACAAGAGGTCTTACCACCAGTACTAATTATGCAAATTATAGTTTTTGCGGGTTTGATTTTGATTACACGATGTTATTCCTTCACCGTGGCAAGTCAATCGTGAATATTTGTTAAGTACCTACCTATTTCATTAGAAAAATTGGTATCTGTCTGCGGGATTCGAACACCGTTGCATCGCTAAATACGAATGCACCGGACGTCTTATCCTTTAAGCCACGACGACTTCAAAGGTTAGTTTTGTGGTAGGCAGGTGGATATCTAATAACTTTATCACGAGTGCTTTTAATTTGAATTTAGCTGCAAATATGGGTGAACGGGCTTACGACCGCGACCGGAGCTCATAAACTGATGTCTATGGGCTCAACGTACTACATAATACACTTACTGCATAAAATTATTTATCGAAACAATACAATTGAGACTTCGACCTCATGTCTCAAGCTGAGCGTCGGTATTCACGCTGTGTTCAGTTCAACAAGTTTACCGAGAGAGTTTCATAATTTATCCATAAATAAAATGGAGAAAACGAAAATAAGTGGAAAAATAAACGCAGTGCCTTTGTTTATGTAGGTATATTAGTTTCTGATAATAAATACATAAATTGCCACTTATCAATGTTAGTAACAATCGTCGGCTACCAAATCGCGCAGTGACAACGCGCACCGCGCAAATTCATGACTTACACTAGTAACTATTATCTAGTACTGATAGAAAAATAATAAACACGGCTTTCCATTTAACAATGAATTGGGCGCGAATGTTAACTTTGTGAATCAGTGGACACTATATAGTTCCGTAACATTTAGGTAATCTTAAAAGTTTGTGAGATAAAGGGAATGCGAGAATTTATATTTGTCTCGTGAATTTTTTTAAATTTAATATTTGATATTTTACTTAATTAATGTTGTGCAACTATCAATTGTGGGTGACGGCATTAATTTCGCGACTTCTCTGTACTCTGGTATCCTCTTATAATCAAGTGATCTGTGACTTCATCTGCCAAAATAGAAAAGTAACGCGCGCACACTTCGTTGTTAAACCTTTTTGTCTTTTCTTACAAACCGTACTTGAAACTTTTATCATTCATAAAACATTGAATTGCGTTGTGCTACATATTTGCAAAAATAAAAAGTGTATAAGGAAACATCAGACTAGATAGTAAAACAAATTTACCTGTTTACTATAATACTTTTTTTCTATTTTTTTAAATATGCCATCATTAAGCAAATATTTGGTCAACAAATATTCGAGAACTATACTTCGCATTTTGTAATTGGACACGAATCATAAAATGTTATACGGCTTCTACTTTTAACAAAAAATTAAGAGACACAATAATACTTACTTAATAATACTTAGGTACTTACTGGCGGTAGGACCTCTTGTGAGTCCCCGCGGGTAGGTACCACCACCCTACCTATTTCTGCCGTGAAGCAGCAATGCGTTTCGGTTGGAAGGGTAGAGCAGCCGCTGTAACTGTTCTTGACCTTAGAAATTATATTTCAAGGTGGGTGGCGCATTTTCGTCGTAGATGTCTATGGGCACCGGTAACCACTTAACACCAGGTGGACTGTGCTCGTCCTCGTCCGTCGTCACATCTAAGCAATAAAAAAAAAAAAAAATCAAAAACGAAAAGAAAAAAAAAATGTGAAAATTATTTTTAATTGGCGCCA